CAAAATTAAACGGGTTTGGGGGGGCAAACCGGGGGTTTTGGTTTCCATGGTTCCACTTACCAGGGTAAGCCATTTTGGAATCCCGGTTTTTTGAGCTACAGCCATTTAAGGCCCAAATGCGATGGAATACGGCGTGCGATGAGCCTGAGGTTCTGGGATGAGCATCACTTCAAAAGAAACTTGGACTGCTTCCGGAGCCAATGTCCTATAGGCAATCAAACAGCTCTTGAATCAAGCCGCTTGCAAGGGATATATCCCACAGGGTTCCTCGCCAACAATGTGTCAATCGCAAGGGAAACCTGTCACACTGTGTTCAGCCTGTTCGACGTGTACTCATTTTGAACATGTGATCGAAGGCTCCAGAATAGCTGCGCTTATGCCCGGTTTGCTTGTTTTTTTGAGGGGGGTTGACGAATAATCTCTCTGTTTTCTTTGCGGCCGCTCTGTTTTTTGAGAGGGGGCTGACGGATGATCTCTCTCTGTCTCTTTTTTTTTTTGAGGGGGGGGGACGGATGAATCCGGACTCCATTCGATTCGAGGCGCGATGAGGTTCATGGCACCCAGCACAAACAAGGTCTTCCGATCCAGCCGTGGCTTGGCCTCGCTCGCTTCCGCGTGATCAAACCCCTTCCTTTCCCCGAGAAAAACTAGACGACGAGTGGCCCGGAAGCATAGAGGCAAGTTGATGCAGGTGAGGTAACTCTCGCAAAGTTAGCATGAGGAGTTGGCAGGCGAAGCAATTCTCAAAAAGTTGGCATGAGAAGCTGGCAGGTTAAGTAACTCTCGAATAGTTGGCTGGCAAAGTTGGCGGGTGAAGTAATTCTCGCAAAGTTGACATGAGAAGTTGGCAGGCGAAGTAACTCAAGAGAAAAGTTGGCATGAGAAGTTGGCAGGTGAAATAACTCTCAAAGAGTTGGCATGAGAAGTTGGCAGGTGAAGTAACTCTCGAAAAGTTGGCGTGAGAAGCTGGCAGGTGAAGTAATTCTCGAAAAGTTGGCACGAGAAGATGGCGCGTGAAGTAACTCTCGAAAAGTTGGCGTGAGAAGCCGGCAGGTGAAGTAACTTTCGAAAAGTTAGCATGAGAAGTTGGCAGGCGAAGTAATTCTCGAAAAGTTGGCGCGAGAAGTTGGCAGGCGAAGTAACTCTCGAAAAGTTGGCAGGCGATGTTGGCAGGTGAAGTACCTCTCGAAAAGTTGGCATGAGAAGCTGGCAGGTGAAGTAATTTTGCGAAAAGTTGCCACGAGAGGTTGGCAGATAAAGTATTTCTCGAAAAGTTGGCATGAGAAGTTGGCAGGTGAAGTAATTCTCGAAAAGTTGGCAGGTGAAGTTGCCACGAGAGGTTGGCAGGTAAAGTATTTCTCGAAAAGTTGGCATGAGAAGTTGGCAGGTAAAGTAATTCTCGAAAAGTTGGCATGAGAAGCTCGCAGGTGTAGTAACTCTCGAAAAGTTGGCATGATAAGCTCGCAGGTGAAGTAACTCCTCGAAAAGTTGGCACGAGAAGTTGGCAGGTGAAGTAACTCTCGAAAAGGTGGCATGAGAAGCTGGCAGGTGAAGTAATTCTCGAAGTTTCGGCATGAGAAACTGGCAGGTGAAGTAATTAACCCTCAAAAAGCTGGAGCGGCGGAGGCGCTCCGCGTGCTACATTTGCAATTTACAGTTGCGATTTTCCAGCCATTTGTATCTAAAAGTTGCGATTTTCCAGCCGGAGCTGCGGGAGCACGCTCCGCGTACTACGTCTGTACTTAAAAAGTGCGATTTTCCAGCCGGAGCTGCAGCAGCCTCCGCGTACTACGTCTGTACTTAAAAGTTGCGTTTTCCAGCCGGAGCTGCAGGAGCACGCTCCGCGTACTACGTTTGTACTTAAAAGCTGCGATTTTCAAGCCGGAGCTGCCGCGGACCAGGGGGGAATCGAACCCGGGACCGCGGGATTGCGAAAGCAGGCGCGCACACCACGAGACAACTTCCAAAAGCCGTTTCGCGAGCAAGAAAATCGCACGGCGCCACAGCGAGAGCGCTTCGACACGCACGATCTCCGCAGAGGGTTCATCGGGCTCAAGACGGATGCGCACGGCGCCACAGCGAGAGCGATCCGACACGCACGATCCCCGCAGAGGGTTCATCGGGCTCAAGACAAATTCGCACGGCGCCACAGCGAGAGCGCTTCGACACGCAGGATCTCCGCAGAGGGTTCGCCAAGGTCAAGACAAATTCGCACGGCGCCACAGCGAGAGCGCTTCGACACGCACGATCTCCGCAGAGGGTTCGCCGCGCTCAAGACAAATTCGCACGGCGCCACAGCGAGAGCGCTTCGACACGCACGATCTCCGCAGAGGGTTCGCCAAGGTCAAGACAAATTCGCACGGCGCCACAGCGAGAGCGCTTCGACACGCACGATCTCCGCAGAGGGTTCGCCAAGGTCAAGACAAATTCGCACGGCGCCACAGCGAGAGCGCTTCGACACGCACGATCTCCGCAGAGGGTTCGCCGCGTCAAGACAAATTCGCACGGCGCCACAGCGAGAGCGCTTCGACACGCACGATCTCCGCAGAGGGTTCGCCGGGCTCAAGACAAATTCGCACGGCGCCACAGCGAGAGCGCTTCGACACGCACGATCTCCGCAGAGGGTTCGCCGGCTCAAGACAAATTCGCACGGCGCCACAGCGAGAGCGCTTCGACACGCACGATCTCCGCAGAGGGGTGCGTTTCGTAAGCTCCCGTCGGGCCTACCCCCGCCATAAAAAGAAGAAGAATTAAGAGTCGAGATGTGAAGGTAGAACAGAAAAGTTAGCTTGTGTTTTTAGGATAGTGAAGTAACACCCGACAAATTAGCTTGTGCTTTTAGTAGAATGAGATAACAGCCGAAAAGTTGACATGAGAAGTTGGCAGGTGAAGTAACTCTCAAAAAGTTGACATGAGAAGTAGGCAGGTGAAGTAACTCTCGACAAGTTGGCATGAGAAGTTGGCAGGTGAAGTAACTCTCGACAAGTTGGCATGAGAAGTTGGCAGGTGAAGTAACTCTCGACAAGTTGGCATGAGAAGTTGGCAGGTGAAGTTGGCAGCCGCTTTTAGAAGAAGAACCCTTCGCAATGCTTCCGGGAAAAACGCCACAAAAAAACGACCTGAAACGAGTACCTTCACAAAACACACACACACACACAGACACACACCCACACCCACCCACCCACCCACCCACCCACACACACACACACACACACCCACACACACCCACACACACACACCCACACACACACACACCCACACACCCACACACCCCACACCACACCACAACGCACCACACCACAACACAACACAACACAACACAACACGACACGACACAACACAACACACAACACAACACACAACACAACACACAACACAACACACAACACAACACACAACACAACACACAACACAACACGCAACACAACACAACACACAACACACAACACAACACACAACACAACACACAACACAACACACAACACAACACACAACACAACACACAACAAAACACAACACAACACAACACAACACAACACAACACAACACACCACACACACACACACACACGCGCGCGGACTTGGAAAAAGGGAAAAAGGAAAGGCGTCGGATTATTTCGCACTTGGATGGCCGCTTTTGAGCAGGCCCCAGGCTAGCTAATCGCTTCGTAACCCTGGACACTGGGGTTTAGGGGTTCCAGGGGGTCAACTCACTAGCATTCCTCCCGCCAGTGACCATCACTCCGCAAGGGGGGGGGGGGATGGTGGGATTGTTGGCTGCCTCGGCATGATTCGTGAACATGGAGGCTCCTTCCGGCCACGGTCCACACCTAAAGTGGTCTACCCCAAAACTATGTGTTAATGTAAAGAATCCTATTTTGCGTAGAGGTCACTTTCCCCCGCGTGGCTGGCTTTCCCATTTCTCCCATTTCTCCCATGTCTCCCACCTCTCCCATTTCTCCCGGCAAGGCCTCCTCCATGAGGGGCCCGTTTTGCGTAGACATGGGCGACATGGCACGCGCCATGGATCCGAACTGGGAAAGGACCTGCCGAAGGGACCTGCGGAAACCAAATCTTTCGCCAGAATAGAACGCGCGAACGGATCCTTGGGCTTGGATGGCGAACGGAGAGGTTCTTCCATGTCCAAGCCCTGCAGTTTTGCAGTTGCAGTTTAATTCAGTTTTCATGAATGTCTTTATGATCGGGTTCGAGAAGCTAAGTCTTGAGTCGAAAGGCGGCCAAGCCATGCTCAGGGTCCAAGACTGAATCAAGGCGGTATCTTGTGATCCAACATGATCCTTCTCTCAAGCTGCCGTGATATATCCACCGTAAGCAGTGGATGCAACTCAAATGAAACCTCCGATCAAGCCGCTGTTGTGGGAACCAAGCCCAGTCGAAACAACGATCTGTTGAATCCTCGACTGGTCAAAACCAGGACTGATTGAAACCACAAGGAAGCCCTTCGCATAAGAAACACGAATGGAAAAATAACCAGGAAACACGGGCGGCACAATGCAGCACTCAAATGGCTGCTTGACAAATCAAACAACTATCCGGACTCGACGTGTTGCTTGGTGCTTCCTCTTCTCTCAGTTGCAAAGGGGTCTCTCCATACCAATCTCCATAGAAAGGGTTGAATCACCTATGTGGATCACCTGAGACGGGTACCCTTCGAGTTCATCACACTAGCCCTTGATCCCTGCCCTGTGCGTTGCACTTCTCGTGTTCCGGCTTTAGGTAACAGCTCTGGGTGTGACACGATGACATGATAGAACACCCGCGCCCATATGAATCTCTGTACAGAAACTCCTTTGAATGTGGGCCTCAACTCGAAAATATCCAGGATTCATAACCCGTTGATCAATATCCAGGATTCATAACACCTTTGGTGAAACACCAATCCACCAAGCTGGTTCATCTGGGATTCTTCCCCCCTGGAATCCACAGATACCAATCCAAGACTACCGGCTCCTCGCTCTCGCCAACACCCCCAACACCAGCCTCCCCTTTCCGTGAAAAGCGCTCTTCCCAGTGAGGAGGAAGCGTGGGTACCTGGCTGCCAGCTTCTTGTTGAATCCGCAAATCCGATTGTCACCAACCATTACTGCCACAACCAAACGCCATGAAACAGCCACAAGAGTGTCTGCGACTTGCGAAACAAAGTTGGAACGTCACGGGCACCGTCCACTGCGTCAGGTTGGACCGAAGGTTCACATAGAACTCCTGGCCATCGGGCCTGGCTTCGGCTTTAAACACACAGCACGGCACGCGAAGCCTGACCTTGTTCTGTTCGAAACCACGAAACACCATAATACTTCAGGGGCCATTTGACGCCGCAAGCGTGAACTATCTTACTATCTTCCGCGCCAGGTCGTGTTATGCCGCGTGCGTCGTTCTGAATCCTGCAAGCCCGAAATATCCAGCTTGCTTTAGGAAAACGCTGCACCTCCACCACCTCACTGAGCTACTCTCATAGACCAACGCTTCTTGGTCCTTTGAATGACCAAAGGTTCTAGGGACACCTCCAAGCTTTCTGATTTCTCGGCAGGGGCCGCTTCAGTCTAAGAATGTACTATGACGTCCACGGGCAGTAGCTATGCAACCAGGAAACACCTTTGTTATACGGTTTCTCACCATCATGGACGTGCACGCCAGGTTTCTGGTTGAGGATATATATATATATATATGCTCACCGCCCCCAAGATCCACCTTTGGGCTGTTTTGAGTATATTTTGGTGTCCAAAATCCTTTTTGGGTGTGAATATATGTGTATATACATATATAATTCCTTTTGAGAGCAGGACGCTGTGAGCGTGCACTTTTTCACTTTTTGGAAACACACAAAATAGGGACAGTACAGCACTTTGAGCAGCATGACCTTCCCAAACTGACAAAATGCAATGAGAAGGAGGTTTTTTAACATGTTCAACACACTTCAGATACAAAACATATGCAAACGTCTGCTTGCCTATCCTTCTTCGGGCTCATTTTTTCTGCAAATACTATATGAAAATGCCTACTCAAACCAACACATCTGCCAGCATCACATCTTGTCCAGGATCAACCCATCTGACAAAAACCATGTCAAATCTAAACGAAATATGTTTTGCTTTTCATCTGCTTCAAACAGTTGAAAACCGCTCAAACACTGTAATTTACAGTGTTTTGGCAGTGTTCTAGCTGTGTCCAAAGCTGGGGGTGGATCTTGGGGGGGACCGACCATATATATATATATATATGTACATATTGGAGGCAACAGGAACAAGATTGGCTGGAAAGGCTGAAACTGGACGAGGTAGGATTCATGATGCGATGCACGAAACGCGCTACCCCGATGGAAGGATGCCGCAGAAATGTTCAAACACTTGCCGATGCTCAGCAGGGAATGAGGGAATGAACAAGAAACCACTTCTTCTGTTGAGCTCATTCCATTGCTCATTTGACCCATCGCACCAGCAGGAGTTGCCTATCGCATTGCTCATTTGCTCAATGGAATTTGCCTATTCCACCAGCAAGAGAATGATGACACCTTGGGGTTCCAATCCCGAAGCGTCCGCCCAAGCGCCGAGGCACGTGGTCTGCATCTCCCAGCCAGCCGGAAGTGCCACTTCCTGGCCCGAAGGCGTTCAAGCAGCTGACTGCGTCCAAGGCGGGGCTTGTTGACAACACGTGGCGCGGGCAACATGGACACGTGGCCAAAGAACATCTTTGGTGAGCCAGAACTTGGTGGTTCCGGTGGTTGATCCCTTTGAAGAGTGAAATCTTTGAATGACATATTTTTTCTAAGCTCCCAGAAACCCAAAGCCTAGGGGTGTGCCTAGGGGCCAAGCAAAATGAGAGGCCCTTTCAGAACCTTTGTGTCCTGACACGCTCTGACATGTTGGAGATACCAGGACATATCTGACTCTGGTTTGAGCAAATACTTGGGTGTCTCTTTTTTGAGGGTTCCCATTGTTTGGTGGCTTCAAAGGGAAACCGAAAGGAAAACCCCCCAATTTTTTGGGGCCCCCCAAACAAGACACACCCGTTTGGAACCCGCTGAATAGTCACTTCTTGCAACAGTTGGGCTGGCGGCACAAAGTCTTTTGCGGGGTTCCAATCTCCTGTGGATGCTATCTTGGGATCTCATTGTGTACAATACAGCTGCTGGCTTGCATAGATCGCCAGTTGAACCCCTAAGGACTTGACCACAGATCCACTTCATCCACTCTCTATATCCTGTTTACTCGCGAACAAAGGGAGCGAGGTACAGGGTTAGGGACAGGAGAGAGTGACCAAAGGGAAAGGAACGGATGGGACTCACCGCTTCATTCCTCATCTCTTCGTCATAGCAGTTAACCTTTCCTTTTCCTTTCGTACACCATCAATCTCAGAGATGAACCGCTATTACAGAAAGGTTCATAAGCTGAGATAAGATGGGAAAGGAAAGGCATGGCATGTCACTCTCTTTCACCTCCTTCCCAGCTCTTGGCTGGGGAGGTGTGGTGAGAGGAAGAGAGTGGACATGTGGATGAGGATGGGATCTCTTTCACCCATCCACTCACTCACTGTCATGTCCTTCCACCTCTTCCATCTCCTCACTGTCACGAAGGAAGTGACTGAGGAGCAAGGAATAGATGGGATAAGGACATGTGGGACATGACATCACTCACTCACCAGCCATTTCTCTCTTCTTGGCTGGTTAATAGGTGAGTGATGGATTGGTGAGATGAAGCCCTCACCTGCCAGGGAAGTCCCAAAAGCACGGTCGCCCTGCATGATTTCCCATGAGCCCTTATGGAGGGGGGTTTGAATGGACCTATTTGGGTGCGGCTCTGAGTCACTGGACGCACCGAGGCACGGAGTCCACTTCCCCGGATCTCGGCCAACTGGACAGGCTTCCCAACATGTCCCCTTTGAGCAGAGCACTGAAAGGAATTCCGCTTTTGATCGGCCCAAAAGGCGCTCAACTGTTGAACCCGAAAAAAGGGACATACTGATCTGCCGAGTTTCTTGGCCACAAAGTGTTTGAACTGGGCCAAGACTAGAAATATAAAAGAGGAAAAAAAACTGCCGAAAAAGATTGTTGAAAGTTTGCCCTCTCAGGTAAGACTACTTTACGACCCTTGGTATGGTAGAAAAAACATACAGCTGCATAGGCCCAAGATTGCATAAAGATCATGACAAGTTCAGTAGAATTGCGAGGCTTCCTGGTGTGGAATTGAAAGAACAAAAACCTTAAGTGTTTTTGTTTGCTCCATTTGTGTGGGCAGCATATAACGCTTGAATCTTGGCACAGGTTGAAGGGGCACTTTGAAAAGGGGCAGGATTTGATCGCGGGGCTTCCTGCCCCAAACAGCACCCCAAAGCAGCACCTGCATCAGCACCCTAGCCCGGCTGGTGCCTCCAACAGCACCTCCACCAAACTAATAAACATGCGCGCACGAACACCAGCACCTCAAACAACACCCAATCAGCACCCCAAACCACGAAAGCAACACCTGCACCAGAACCTCAAACTGCATGCCACCTAGCACCCTGCCCTCAATCTTGCGAAAATACGCCCACACCGTCACCAGCACCTCAACAGCACCTGCACCACCACCCGAAACTGCATGCTCCCTAGCACACACCCGTCGATCTCGCAACCATGTCCACAACGTCACCACTACCTCAAACAGCACCTGCACACGCACCCCAAACTGCACGCCCCCTAGCACCCGGCCGAGAATCTTGCAAAATTGTGCCCACACCGTCACCAGCAATTGAAACAGCACCTGCAAACTGCATGCCAGGCACCAGCACCCCAAACTGCATGCACTGCCGTCAATCTCGCAAACCACGTATTGCTTCCCCGAGTCGTGCCTGGCTGTTCTGGGCAGCTTCCAGCGACGCCAGCACTGCAGCGCGGACTTCGTCTTCCCTCAGCGAAGCGTGGAGTCAAAGTAGGGAATCTTCGAAACTGGGTGCGCCATTGCTGTTTGGTGTCCCTTTCCACAATTCCGGCACCCACAAAAAAAAAAACATGGGCGTGGCTTTTTGAGGGTATCCTCCCACCAACAAAGGAAGCTAACAGGAGGGTGTTAGAAAAGACTTTACTTCTGGGGAAGCCCCTGTCTCAGGGCTGCTTCAAAGGTGGGGGCTCCTCCCTTTGGAAGCAAGCCTCCAAAATGGATGGTGTTCTTTTGTTTTCCCTTTCAACCAACCCCAAACCAAAGAAAGACACCTTTTTCTCACCGTGATCTACATTGGGAACATTTGCTGTAACAAGAGAAAGTGGCGACCTCAAAAGAGGCAACTAGGATGAACGGAGTTGGACTCCTCATTTTGCGGTGGAACATGCAGGCTTCCTACCACATGTAACCAAACGCGAGGAGTAAAGCCATAACCAAAAAGGACGCCCTCCCTTCAAATGTGCAGGGCTTGACTCGTCACGTCATGTGAAGCAGCCAAAGGGGTCCCCACAGCCATGGATTTCATTTTGGTCCATATCCAGTGAACCATGTGTGTCGAAGGACAGAAAGCACGGCCACCGCTTGCTTCTAGATTGCTCCAGTTTCAGCCGGCTTCCCGAGTTGACTTGAAACAAGCCTGACGCAATGGTGCCTCGGAAGTCATTCCAACCAGCTGCACATCCAGCTGGCTCATGAACCAGAGTTCGGCGTAACAAGAAGACAAACCGGCAGCCAGCTGGTGCCACGCCACAATACCCAACTGAGCAAGTCAAATATTAGCCCACCAAGCCCAACCAGACCTAAGCAGCACGCAATCGAGCATAGCTTGCACTCGCTTTGGAACTCGAGAAACCCAACCACGAACATGAACGGCGCCACTCAAATGATACATGTTCCCAAAAAAGGACGACTCAAACTGCGACTTGGGTCCTTTCGGAAAAAAAGAAGAAGAAGAAGAAGAAAGAAACAAAAAAGTGGTTCCCTTGTACCGTGTCTTCCTTATGGTGTCTTTTTATTTGTTTTCTTTCCCTTGCCATCCAGGACACACTTGTTGATACCCGTCCGCGC